TGGATCAAGAACTACACACACTGGCACAATTGGGGGAACGGGCAAAATTTACACTAAGTTTGACATCAATTTTCTCTCGAACCGATCACTCGATTTAAATTTGTTTTTCACGAATTGTAGCTTCATTCTTCACGAATACATCTGAGAAATAACCACCTTCAAACGATTCGTCTTCATATCATATACAGGGGTGTAAACTAGTGTAAAGAAAGTACGGATTTTTCGGTATTCTTTAAGACATCCTGTGGAGTGAACCACTGATAATTGAAACGATTTCCCAACACCAAATTGTAGCCCAATCTATTCCGAATATTTTCGTTTTTTATTCATTTCGATATCCCAATTATCTAAGAAAATACAGAGTTTCAAAGAAGAGGTGGACATTGGTATAATTTTACCACCTCGAAACTTGAACTGGGGATAAGAACGTGTCGTTTTTCAACTTGTTTCTGTGAGGATTTTTACTTCAAGATGAGAATTGTTCACAGTTTTACCTATAGGTTTACTGTTTGAAGACAAATATACGAATACTCTCATGAATATGCAGGGGTGATTAAAGTTGCTCCAATGTTCTTTTGGTGAAATGCTATTTTTTTATAATCAACGTTGGCTCCTTTGTTTACGTCATTAATTATTGTCAAAGTCAAGCGATTCACAATTCATAATTTGATTAATGAAGATTCAATATAAGAGATTTTACTCCTACTGATGTGGCGAGGGCTCTGTAGCATTAATTGAAAATGACCAGTGGGCCAACGTTCTTTTAACATATGAGAGCCGCTTCTGCATCAATTCAATAGATGGCAGGGAAAGACTATATCGCCGCCGAGGTGAACAAAATGAACAATTTAATTTTACTGCTTCTGTCTCCTATGGCAGAGGTTTAGTAATGGTTTGGGGTGGAATATGTTTAAAGGCACGAACAAAATTTGTTGAATGCAGATGGCTATATACGAAATTTTCTTCAACAGCATGTCATACCATTCGCCCCCCATATCGGAGAAAACTTCTTGTTAATGCACGATAATGCCCGCCCTGACGTGTCTTCAGTATCCAACTTTTTGAATAAAGTCGGAATAAGAGCAATGGATTGGCCTGCATGTTCGCCAGACCTTAATCCAATCGAGCATGTATGGGACATGGTGGGTAGACGATTGAGGTCCAGAATTCCCGCTGTACAAAATCCCGAACAAGTAGCAGCAGCTCTGGTTGAGATTTGGGATAATCTTCCTCCAGAAATGATCGATAATGTTATCGAAAGCATGAGCAGATGGATGACTGCTGTATAATAAGATCGCATGGAGGTCACACACATTATTGAAATTATTGTTGGTGTTTTGAATCCGTATTGTTCGTTGAGTTAATGTTATTGTTATTGAATGAGGGCTTTGAAAATATTGCATTCCTTCTCAATCATATTTGTATATTTCTAAGAGATCTTCTCACAATAGACTAATAAGTTAGAATAAGAGCAATATTCAACTTGAAGGGAAAATTATCTCAGAAACAAATTGAGGAACGACACATTTTCAGATCCAATTTGAGTTTCGAGGTGGTAAAATTGATACCAATATCCACCTTTCCTTTGAAACTCTGTATTTTCTTGAATAATTGAGATATCAAGATGAATAAAAAACGAAAATATTCAGAATAGATTGGGCTCCAATTTGGTGTTGAGAAATCGTTTCAATTATTAGTGGTTCAGTCCACAGGATGTCTCAAAAAATACCGAAAAATCCGTACTTTCTTTACACCCCTGTATATGATAGAAAGACTAATCGTTTGAAGGTAATTATTTCTCAGATGTATTCGTGAAGAATAAAGCTACAATTCGTGAAGAAAAAAATTTGAATCGAGCGATCGGTTCGAAAAAAAATTGATGTCAAACTTAGTGTGAATTTTGCCCGTTCCCCTAATTGTGCCAGTATTTTGAATGTTGCTATATTTCCAGGAGTTGTTTTCTCATTTATTATTTCTGTTTCTATTAAAAGCTTGGTTGATAGGCAACTTACAAATTTGATTTGATATTGTTTACCAAGCCTCGATTTACCTAGTTTCTTTATCCTCATTAGTTAGCAGAACTTGACATTTGTAATTCGTTTATTTCAAATTTGGCTAGATAACGTGAAGTTGACAAAAATAAGGATGATATGGAGAAGATGAAATCATCATTTAGGGCTCTTGAAAGTTACAAATACAGGGTGACAATTTGATAACAAGCAGCACATTATGAAAATGTGGCGAAACACGTCAATTTATATACCAAGGGAGGCAACTTTTGAGGTTCATTTTACTTGATTATTTGGAATTATCTCTCCAAATCATCTGATTTGTCCTACTACACATATATACAGGGTGGTACGATTTGTAATACAAAAAATTAAACAGTGTGTTGTACTCGATGAAAAAATAAAAAAAGTTTATATAAACATACACTTTTAAACGCGTCGTTTTCGAGATATGGGGTGTTGAAAATACGAGAATATTGTTTTTGGATGAAAAGTTCGAAACGGTTTGAGATAAATCAACAAAATTTCTCACAGATACTTAACTTATTACGTTCTATAAGATGAAATAAAAATTATTTCATGAAGTAATTCAGTGGCTGCTGAATCTGGGGGTGGTGAAGAAAAAATCACACCATTTTTTATATGTGCATATATTTCCCAATTTGTAGTTCAAAATCTAAAAAAAACATAGGTCTCTGCGTGAAAAAGCTCAAAGAGTTTTTTGTCGCCTTTTTTCAGTTAAATCTGTTCAGCAATATGGTAAAATTTTCAGTTCAATAATGATATTTGATTGTAAGAAGTTTAGTATATGTGAGAAATTATGTTGATTTATCTCAAACCGTTTCGAACTTTTCATCAAAAAATGATATTCAGACTCGTATTTTCAACATCCTATATCTCGAAAACGACGCGTTCAAAAGTATATGTTAATATGAACTTTTTTTATCATTTAAGGAGTACAACACAATGTTGAAGTTTTTTTATTACAATCCGGACCACCCTGTAAGTATATTGAAAATACTCATATTTTTATTTTGTAGAAACGAGGAGAGAAAATCCGAAATAATCAAGTAAAATGAATGTTACACCTTCTCTATTTAACTTTTGAGATATTTGTTGTTACATTACATTCAACCCCTTCACTGTCAGGACAACTACCCTTAAATTTCCAAATGGCAACCCCCAATCATTTGGATATTTATCAAGTCCATATGTGATTCAGGATAAGCCTATTTTTGTTTTCAAAATTGCAGTAGTGGACCTCAGCAATTTTTAGATTGTAATAATTTATTATGATGATGAAAAAATGATATACCTACAGACCTAACTACTTACTTCATGAATTTACAAAATGGTCTCAATTGTTTTGCAAGCACAATTACAGCTTATATTCCAGAGACATTCCATCAGAAGATAATTAGTTATATCTGTACATTTTTTTATCATAAATTACAATCCAAATATTCATGAGGTTGAGAACTGCAATTTTGAAGACAAAAAAATAAGTGTAACTCATCTGGAATCACATAAGGATTTCAAAAATAGCAAAATAATTGGGAATTGCCATTCAAATTTCCTGGGGTAGTTGCACTGAGTAGCATAGTGTCATTAGTTGAATAAATATTGAGTGCTGCTCGTTTTCAAATCACCCAGTATACTATCCTATAGCATTTTGTTGTTACTGGAATATTCATTTTGGTCTATGATTAGAGAATTTATAGGTACCATGTAAAATCTGAAAATGAACCACAAAGCAAATAATTATTTACCTCAAAAAATGTTCACTAGATTTGATTTTAATAATAGTACAATCTCACTATTTTTTGAGAGATAAATTCCTATACCTACCTACCTATAAATAGCTCATCAAGTAGTCCTTATGAATATCAATTCATGCAACTTAGGTGTATGTGTGTAAATAGGTTAATTTAATCCTATTCATTGTACCAGCATATTATGGATTATAATGCTGATTACTCAGTAATTTCCATAACATAAGTAGATACATACCTTCTGACCAATTTCCTGATTATCATAATAATTATCATTACATGTTCATGAACAATCAATGCCTAATTTGATTTTCATTAGCCCTATGAGGATTTTACTTTGAACTCCCTTTCTTGAAAAAAAAAAATAGGAACAATCATATTTATTTTTACAAAACATTTTCAATTCACACCTCACCTTGCACTAGACTGAACACATCACACATATATACTACTGATTCTAGTGAGAATATTATGTAAATCAAGAATCATTCTCAAGCATTGATTTATTGCAAGTTTTGAAAAGTTGAGGTGATATTAATGATTGTACTTAATTTTTTGATACAATAATAATTGTAGAAAATGGGAAATAGGAAACTAAAGTTTTCCTTCTAAATGTATCTTGTGAATGAAGAAAAATTATAGGACAATATAAGCCAGAAATGTGAGACATATTTCAATTATAGACTAACAACTGATAGAATAGGTATCCCACAATCAGATATATAAATAAACAATTCACTATGTATGTTATGATATCCACATATCAAATTCATCTTATACTGAATGAATAATGAAAAACAAAAGAAAAATAGAAAAATATAAGCCAGAGATGCTTGGAGGATGGGTTAATTTCATTTTCTCAATAAGCATGATATAAATGAAACAATATTTGGGATAGTTTTTGTTATTCACATGCTGATAAAAAAAGAAAAAGAACATTCTATCCAATAGAATGTACTTTTTCTCTGGCACCATTCTGCATTCTACAAGGTTATCACCATCATAATGATGATAAAAATTACAAAAAACATTATTCCAGGATGAATAATAATAAAATGATTATACCTATTTGAAGTTGAAAGTTTTTCATGTAAAGTAATGAATACAAATTCTGAAAATCAAATGATACCTATTGGCCAATTTGGCTGAACTGCTCTTTGATCACATGGTGTTACAATAATTCAAGATGTGATATTAATAATATAATAACAACACTTACCTTGATCTGATTGTGATCTTTGCAGAGCTGATGGCAGTCTCCACTGGATTCACGACCAAAATCTCCTACAAATTCACAAATATATAAACAAAGAGGTGAAAATCCTTCACATCACCATAATATTTTTTGCCCTTGTGTCAATCAATATTATATTTATATGAGAACACCCACTGGCGATTACTACAAATTTATAATAATGAAACTTAAGCAAAATAAGAACTAGCTGAATGTTTTCAAAGTATGCAGATAAAATAATCTGATGATTGTGTACTACAAATCACAGTAATGACATTCATATTGACAAAGAATTTGTTGGGCACTTTCTTGCCAAGGGAAATTTTGTTATGAAACTTGACATTTCTCAGGTGAAGCTCACCTTTTAACGTTGCTTTTTCACATATCCAACTGCGATTTCAGTGCTTCAGAGCAATGGTGATGAATTATTTTAAGAATTTCACACTATTTGCTAAGATTTCTTCACATTCGCTTACGTTGTTCACTGATGATCAAAGTAAATTTATAATTGTACGGGTACGGGTACGGAACACTTCTTTAATAAATAGTCGGAGATCGCATTATCTGTTCTGTGGTAATGTGATCAAGACATGTGACACATCATGTGACGCATAGTGACAAGTGACGCCGACTGGTGACGATTATGATGCAATGTTCATGGTATGACGGAAGTGTATAGACTGCCGACCAGTCGGCAATCTATTCGCGGTCGCCTAGGTAATTAGATGACTTTTTTTTGTTCTTGGATGTATGACAAATTGATATTCATCATATAGGACGTGGAAAGAAATTCCGAATTATATTATAGAGAGATGGAAATTGGTTTCATCATGAAGAATAACTGAAAGAATAAGTGGACTTAAGGTTACTTAGGAGGGTTTGAAATCCGAAATGATTTCATTCGAATAAAGTCATATATAACCCGTTTGTGAGAGATATAATTCCGATAGATCTCTGATACGAATGATTTTTTTTGGAAATTTCAAGCGCATCAATATTCAAGTTTATAAAAGTATATACCTCTCCTGCTACTGCTACTTGCCGACCAGTAGAGACTGACGACCATCAGTAAATCAAACTATTTTCAAGCAATCAAATATGAGATATACTGACACGAGCCCACTATAACCTATGGTTGGAACAAAAAACTTATCAAAAAAATATTGTGAACGGAACTACCCAGCCAACACATCCTGAAACATATATGACTTCTCTGAGATGTGGCGTTTAGGTATCAGTGCGATATCACAAACACATCTGCGACATGACATCGCTGAGATGTCGAGATGAGGCAAAACACTCTGCCATAATACGAATGTTCTATCACTGCGATGAACAGAAGCAAACACATTTGCGAGAATTGTTCAAAAATTTGTTGTGTAGATTCTTGTTCGGTAAAAAAAAACCTGAATATATAATACTCAACAAAGTGAAGCTAAATTCGAAAACATTCGTTACATTGATATCAAACTATTCTAGATTCGCTTACATCTCGCCGACACAAATAACATTATTTTTCATACAAATACGATAAATACAAGTAACTGATCTCATTCTGATAAAGATTCGATGAAGGACCACCAACCAGTCACAACAACACATAATCAATTGTAGTGTACCTATTATCACACTATGTTTGAAGAAACTTTTTTTACGTTTTACGCATAGATGAAACTTGAGTGGGACAAAATAACATCCCTCAACATTGCAGCGACGTCTATGCGACATAGAATGCGATATCACAGGTCACAATTGTTACATTGCTGCAATATTTCTGTGATGTAACTGTGTTTGCTGGGATAACTGATGTATACTCAATCCCAAACAGATTAACCGATTACTGAAACAAAAATCTGATAAAAAAAATTGATTGTCAAAAAAAGAAACTAATCTATGTGGGGTTTGAACACGGGACCATTCGTTATACAGAATCAGTATTTCACTGAATGGTCAGCAGTTAGGGTGTCAGCAGTCTAGTAAATAAGTATAGTTTGCCGACTAGTCGGCAGTCTATACACTTTCTTTTTCTTATATGACAGTTAACCACGAAGTGAATTCTACCCTGTTTATACTTACAACACAACGCCCACAGCCATAGTTAACTACTGTGTACTGTGGACTTTGTTGACGGTGATGTCTGACGTGACTGTAGAAAAATTCAGAAGACAATGAATAGAACCGTCCTCGTTTGTTTTGATTTTTGAGGAGTTTTTTGGCGCTCGAAGTGGTCAAGAGAATTTTTCTAGTTTTCTTAAAAATAATATAATAAATCCTAATCAACGGTACGAAAGTTATAGAAAGTAGTGCGAGGTCAGTAATAAGTAGTCAGTAAATAACATTTTGCAGCATAATTGCACTTAAGGCTTGGGTGGCTTGTTAAAGCTTGTAGAGGTTAGATTAGCAGCATGGCCCCTTCTCCGGGGGGGCATTTGACTCGTCCACCAGATCGAAGCGAGGAATTGCAGCGGCTCATATTAAGCAGACTTACAAGCAGATCAGCAGAACTTTTGAATTCATTACATACATTCTCTCCAGCATTGAGAGATGAACTCAAATTATTAAGTGAAGAGATTTCTAATCTCAAAGAAGAAGCAAATGATGACATAGAATTACTATCTGAGCTGAAAAATGTTTGCATGAAGATTGAAAGTGTAAAAAGACGCAAAATTCAGTATACTCAGGAAGACTTCGGACCATTTATAGTTATTGCTGAGGCCAAGAAGAAGAACATAGGTAATATCCACCCTTCAGATTTAGCTAAAACGTTGTTCAAAGCTGGCATTAAAGGTATTTTGGATGTAGCTCGGAAGGGTACAAATAGAGTAGGCATCACATTTTCAACATCAATGCATGCTAATGAATTTCTTGAGAACAAGTCATTTCTGGATAGGGGTTTCGCAGCATACATACCACAAAGCCTATTGACCTGCAAGGGGCTCATAAGAGGTGTAGGTTTTTCAATAGAAATGGATGATATCATCATGTACAATAATGCAAAATGTAAAATTGTAGAAGCTAAGAGACTAAACAAAAGAGTTCATAACAATAATGAGGTTTCCTTTGAACCAACTACTACTGTAGTTATTACATTTGAGTGCAGTCGAAGCAAAGTTCCTAGTAATTTGAGTGTTTTTTCATATTCATATCCAGTTGAAGCTTATATACCCCCAGTTATACAATGTTATAAATGCTTAAAATATGGGCATGCCAAGAGGCAGTGCAGGGGAAAGAAACGATGTGCAAGATGTGGTGAGCAACATGACGATGAATGCACTAGTCCTGAAATAAAATGTTTATTTTGTAACAATTCCCATCTAGCTATTTACAGAGGGTGCAAGGAACAGGAAAGACAGCGAAAAATCAATGAAACAATGGTGTTCCAAAATCTCTCCTTTTTTGATGCCTCCAAGCTATTTCCCCCGATAATTCCACCACCTCCAAAACAAAATATGAACCGAAGGTCTCTGGATTTTCCCACTCTTCTATCCTCCATCCCAGTGCCATCATCTCCCCAAGTCTTCTCTCAGTCTAGTTCACAGCGCAGTTATGCTAGAGTGGTAACAAGCACAAAACGAAGAAAAACTCCTTCACAAAATGAGGGATATGATGTTTCTGCTCATCAGGAAGCTCTTATACCGTCTAGATCAAAATTCAATCCCCTTCCACTGAATTCTTCACCCTATCGAGGGTTTACTCAAGCTGAAATGCCGGTGCAAGAACAAGTTGGTTATAAAATGGTTTCAGAGAATAAAGTAATAGTTGAAAGGGTACCCACCTTTCATAACAATGATTTGAGTGCAATAGGGGGAGCCACTTCAGGTCTCCTTCATATGAGCCACTCAGGCTCTCAATCACAAATAATAGAAGATTCTCAATTCAATTCACTTGAAAATCAGTCTGGTATGGTGGAGGAAATGGAGGATGTCCAAAGCTCATCATCCAAGACCTCTACATATTAGGTTGATTTCACTCTGTGTCCTTATTTCTTCAATATTAGTTCCTAATGTCTGTTTTACCTTATCCATTAGTACATTAATCTAAACCTTATGAATAAGTTAGCTCTAAATTTTTTTCACTGGAACATGCGAGGCTTTTTTTCAAATAAAATCAATCTAATTTCCTTTTTAAGAGAAGAACAAACAGACATAGCATGTTTAAATGAAACCTTTTTAAAACAAACTGATAATGTACATATAGCAGGATTCAATATAGAACGTAGTGATAGGTTTGATGGTTGGGGAGGTGTAGCAGTTTTGATAAGACGAGATATTGCATACAAGGTCATTAAATACAGAAATTTGAATCCAAATAGCAGATGTCAGGTAATTGGTTTAGAGTTGCAAAACCTTATACTTGTGAGCATTTATTGCCCACCAGATCTTATTCTTCCGCAAAATGTTCTTAATCATATAGTGAATCAAAGTAATAAGCCCCTTCTTTTTATGGGAGATTTCAATGCGCAGCATCCTTTATGGGGTTCTGACAGAACAAATAGAAGTGGGCAAATTATCTATGACTTTTTAGACAATCATAACTTGGTTGTGTTGAATGATGGTTCGGGCACTAGAATCAATCCACCTTTTTTCCACAAAAGTGTACCAGATTTAGTGATATCTTCGGCAAATATAGCATTGGATTTCAATTTCAAAGTAGTTGAGGATTCAGGCAATAGCGATCATATGCCAATAGTGTGTAATAGGGGCAATCCTGTAGTCCAAAACGTAGCTCAAGATCAACCGTCACACCTGAAATTCAACTGTAAAAAAGCAGATTGGTGTAAATTTAATTCTCTAATAGAAAACCAATTAATGTCAAGGGAGTCTTGCTCCTATGGAGAAATGTACGACGTTATTTTGGAGGCAGCTAAACAAAGTATACCTACCCAAAAATCATTCAACACATTCAAGCCACAACATCGTTGGTGGGATGATGAGTGTACAGAACAGATCAAAATTAGGAGAAGAGCCTTTTCAAAATTCAAAGAGGTTAGTAGCACAGAAAATTATATTGAAATGAAAAGGATCAGAGCACAAACTAGAAAAATACTCAGAAACAAAAGAAGGGCTGGGTTTAAAAACTTTTGTGAAACTATTTCGCCATCCTCCCCTATAACACAAGTATGGAAAGCAGTTAAAGGGATGTCAGTAGCCTTGGACTCCACAAACAGACCCCACACTTTGAACAGTAATATAGGATATGATTTATTGAATGCATTGACCCCACCTATGCCTCCGCATGAATTCCCTAGAGATTCAGATTTTAATATTTTAGGAAGTGACCCTTTCAGTATGAGTGAGATAAAACTCGCTCTTTGCAATAAGAAAGATACGAGTCCTGGCTTGGATTATATAACAAATTCAATGCTTCAACATCTTCCCGACATCGCACTAGGCCACTTAATAGACATATCAAATGAATTCCTTAGTGGAAGAGAGGATAGCCTGCCTTCAGAGTGGTATAATACATTAGTATGCCCAATTCCTAAAAGAGGAAAAGATTTGTCTTCTGTGAATGGTTGGAGAC